CGCTCATTTTTCCATACATCCTCCTCTCCATCTCCGAGTTTTATACATTTCTGTGTATCCGTGTATACATGCATTCACAATTTCATTCACCTATCCATCATTTCAGGCACAGCTAGTTCGGTGTCTCCATATATACTTATACTATTCATTCAATATGGAATATTAATATAATATATACATGAATATATACATATTTACCAACTATTCTTTCTCATTTACTATGCGTCATTTAGCCCTTCTCCTGTCCTTACACATTTTCATCTCTCTCTCTCTCTCTCTCTCTCTGTGGCAGGGGTTTTGGGTGGATGCACAGGAAGTGACGATGCATACAGTAAATGGTTCCGACCTTCAGTCATAGAATCAGGCAGATATGGTAGAGCACTCTCATCATCTCTGCACTAAGACGTAGCATGGCCACATTGGGCAAAGGTCACTGGTTTCCGCTACACCATTAGTGGCTCTGTAGCGAGTGTAAGATGGCCAGAAGTCGGACCAGCATGTTCTCTGCCCGGTCTATTCTGCTCAGTTAAACACAGATTGTATCATTTGGCCGGCTCTATTTATTTTTTTACATTCATTTTGTGAAAGTAGGCATGTTTATGCAAATATGTTTGTGGCCTTTCCATTTCTTTGATGGGTTCCTACAGGCCGTTGTGCCTACTTTTTGTCCGCTGCCCAAAACGGTACAGATCGCGTGGGTTGCTGATGCGGCTCATTGGCTATTGGGATGATGGTTACTTTTATTATGAATGATTGGGACGGCCTGTATCATGAAAGCGAACTCATCTCTAGGCTCACCACCTCTGTACCATCATAATCTAGTATGCCTGGCCCGCCTAAGACTATTTTCCCGCCAAATCAGATGAATAGGCCTCATTTCGGTATTCTTATCTGGGCTCAACTCAACGGCGGTTTCGTCTGAACTGATTTCAACCTCCTCCTCCTCATTTCCCTCCCCGGAGGGATTCGAGCTTGGTTCATGAGTGAAGTGGTCAACGTCGCACGAAGCTGACGATCCGGGCTCGAGTCCCGATGAGGGTGATGATGAGGTCGGTTGACGCGAGCTCGAAACTTTCTTCACTCTATCCAAGCGAATTTGGCTAAATAGGTGCTTATTCAAGAATGCCAGAAAGTGTGGAAAGCATCTCATATGAAATTCATCTGCCTCTTTGGCTCGTGAAACTGATGAGGTTGTGGCGACGAGACTAGTTGGGAAATGTCGCTTCGGACCGGCATAAAAGTGTAACTTGATGCGAGCAGTTTTGCGGTTTTCTCCAACTCCAGTCCTCTCATCAGCTCCAAATACGTCGGCTGGCGTTCGGCCGCCTCGGACGATTCGTCCTCCCGCACGGACGCCTTCATGACCGGCCAGCTCGGCAGACCCGGACTTGGCGGGTTCCGGTCGGCCGACTTGCCGGCCCGACGGCCCGGCTTCGTCCGGCTCCTCTTCCGATTCGACCGCACCTACCTCTTCCACTCGGTCCGCCTCTTCTCGGCCAACAACTACGCCGTCGACATGGCCGCTCCGGCCTGCGTCGAGGTGCATCTGTACCGCCGGGACCCGCGACTCGACGCCGACGACGGCCCGTCCGCGGGTACGTCTGCCTCGGGACGGTCGGTCGTCGTCGTCAGGACGCTGGAGCCGGACCGCCGTAATCTGGCCAGCCGCTGGTTGGACGTCGACCTTCGGCCCGACTGTCCCAGCCCCGACGCCCGCACCAGCTTGCCGGCCACAGACTTGGCCCGATCGGCTGGCGATGGCAACGGCGACGGCGACGGCGACGGCGATGGTGACGGCCGAACTCTCATCAGACGGCCCCAGGCGTTCGGACAACTCGAGTCCATTCGTCTCGAGAATGACGAGGTTCGCGAGAGCTATCGCTGTGTTGCCCAGTTTGTCGAGTTGCGACTGCATTTCAGCACGGCTTGGATAGCGATCAGCGAGGTGAAATTCGACAACCGTAAGTTGCCGCCAAAAGGCTATATTTCATATATATAGTCGGTTTTGAGACTATCAATAATTCTTAAATAACATGAGCTGTATTCACCCAACTTCGATTAAGGTGATAAAGGACTGGTAAAAGAAGAATTTTCCACGAGCATATGAGTTGAGCTGACGTTTCCATTCTATTTCACTACCAGTCCTTCATCAACCTAACGAAATTGGGTTAATACATCTTATATTCGTATTCTTGTTTTTCGAATTAAGTATCGTTGTCGTGTCTACCAGTAAATCAGTAGCATGAGATGTATTCACCCAATTTCGTGTGAGGTGATGAAGGACTGGTAGAAGTAGAATTTTCCCACAATTTTGTGAGTTGAGCTGACGTTTCAATTGAATTTCACATGGAAAC